ACACCAGCACCATTATTGAGATTACAGTATGCAACAGATGGCTGTATATTAGCTCAGCTCAACTTGCTCATAACTCATGCACGGATTACTAAGGCAAACTCCTGCTGCGATAACTTCTTACACTTGATTTAATATACAACACACACAGCTCTGCATTAACATTGGATCAGAAATGTGAAAACAGAGTTATCTCCTAATAATTACATGGAGACTGTCAAATTTGGCAGGTTGTTGCTGACTTCAAAGACAAAGCAAAACTGAACAGTATTTATCTAACAAGGACTTGCTTTGTTGCTTAGCACCGTACTCCTAGCCTCAGGGCTTCTGAGAAGGGAGAATCAGTCTCAGGGCCAATTACATGGACTCTATCAAACAAAACATATCTAGGTGTCAGCAACTAAAGTGACAATCTGCTGGGATGTTAAATCAGCTGTGCTTTTTCCAAACAGAATCTGGCATACTCAGAAACATCTTCCTGACAACACTGTAAAGTTTACTGGATAGGCAATGAATTGACAACATTACAGCAACCTCTGTTCCTAAGTCAGTTCACTGCTTGGCAGTCCCGTGGATGAAAAGGTGCTGTGCACTGTCAGTTAGACTGATGGAGCAATAGATAAAGAGAGATCATTTTACCAACAACACAGAAGCCGCAGTGGATGATCTGTACCTTATAAATTCGGATGTATTCCTCAATACTGAAGTCTCTAAATTGTTTCCAAAGTGACAATGTCTGCTCATCACATTCCTCCAGTTTTCTAAAGAAATCCTTAGCCATCTTTTTCATGTTTTCATCTTCTGCTGCTTTGTTAATCTGCACATACACCTAAAATATGACACTGAAAATGTTGAAGTAGTATAATCCTCCCATCCAATAAAAATAAGCGAAGTTCTACAAGAACAATACATATACATTTAAAGATTACATTTATGACATCAAAACTTTAAAGATGTGTAAAAGGAACACATTTCCCATTTAAAGGATGAATGAGTAGTCGAAACTCCAATGGGAAAAGACACAGCTTATCTTGAAACAAGACTAATGCCATAATTCCTTGCTGCCTTCCTCTTCAAAAGTAGAAGGAAAATTCAACTCTTTACAAGAACAACGCGCCCCCTCCCCGATCAGTAGCTTCAGACATTCTAACACCCCTCTGCCCTGCCAATCTTCAATGCTACAAAGCAAAAAAAATGCAAAAGGCATATTTGCATCTGACTTTTGACCAAAATGGAAGGTGCAAAGATGCTTGGAAAGGTACATTTGTCTATACATTTATTTGTATAGAAACTGCGCTATGGAAATTTTCTTTTTAAATGAACGATAGGAAAGACTAGTTTCACACATCACTGAAATATGTCTCAGTTTCAATATAAAATAGGAATACAGCTGAACAAACGGTTAAAAATTGGGAATGTTTGAGAAACTAATTTGGTCTGAAACAAATACTGGTTTAGAACCTTTTGCAGCTTGACTGAATACACTTCTCTACACTTTAAGATAGTTTCTTTAAGGTCATAAAGCCTACATACTACTGCAATAGATGGTATTTTAAAGCTTTAGTGCAAATTCAAATATTCAAAATTTAAATTCTAAGAATGGATTGAAATTATAACCAAAAATTAAATAATATGCAGCAATGCACAAGAATATGACTACTTCTTGTTGCCTCCTCAAATCAGTCCTACAGCTCTAAAATGCCTCCATGTTGAGAATTTATCAATTTTATTGAGCAGGCCTCAGGGATGAGGGAACAAGTGAAGAAAATTTATCTATGTCAAAGAAGCTGGCAAACTCAGAAGAAGCTACTCTGCCACATAAACAATCTGCCTAATATGTATTCAGCTGTAGAGTATCCAAGTATCCAGACACGGTTTGCTCCTTTGCCAGTAAACAGATTTATGCAAAACAGTTATCCTGTGACATAGTCTGAACACCAGCATTAGCAATAGTTCCAGCTCAGAGGGTGAAGCACAGCTCAGCTTTGTAATAAGAGAATGCTCGACAGTGCTACACGAGAGCCCTGACAAAGCCCCATTAACACGGGAGATCCTTCTTTTAAAGGACGAGGGCTTGAACATTAGCCACTCAGAAAATTTTGTCCACCTGTCCTCACGGTTATTGCATTTGTCCGGGCAAGCACATGTCACGTTCTCTCACGTATTGCATACATAGATTCATAGATTCATAGATTTCTAGGTTGGAAAAGACCTTAGAGATCATCGAGTCCAACCATCCCTAATCCCCAATAAACCATATCCTCAAGTAG